GAATTCACTACATAATAATATAGAGATTTTTAAACTTGATATTTCTTTTCTTAAAAAACATTTAATATTCTCAATAATTTCTGAGAAAATGAGTGTCTTACCAGATTTTGATCACTATATATAGTATTATTTATTTAAGTTATTAAACATAACCGTTTATTGATACATGTTTCAAACCAGTCCCTTGCATTCATTAATGATGCCCACACCAAGATTTCTATCAAAGTTAATGAATCACAAATAATTATACAGCATCTCCGGAATTTTTTTAGAGATCACTGTTTTACTAACTCAAGGCTATAAAAGGCCATTTTTTTTATGGAGGGATCTTTTTTATGCTTATGGTCGATATTCTCATATATGGAATTTACGTCAATACAACTAAATATTTTGTCCCTAGGACTTAGTTTTTTTACATATTACCCTAAACTGTGACAATTATTTTTAGATGATTTATTTATAACAAGTCTAACAACAACAACCATAACAAGTTTATTTCATTTTTACCCAAACATTTTCATAAAATATAGATAACATGTATTTTTTAAAATTTGATTTAACAATTAGAAGACTCAAAGGTGTCAAATATTATTGTGCTCTTCATTTCTGGCCAGCCTTAATTGTTTTACTCAGCTCTCACTGGACTGATTTTTTTTAACGATACGTCAAAAGATAGCAAATCGTATCTAGTTGAAGACATTACCCTCGAAAATAAATAATATTCACCCGTTCCCTGTAGATTGTAAAAATCCATCAGTTCGTTGTCACGTCGATCTGACGAAGCGGATTCCCATACCGGGAACATTGCGTTAAAATTCCCGGTGCATGTCACATACCACGTTGGCACAAACTCATCCCACAATAGCGCATATCACACACCACTTACTCACAAGTGTATTTGCGGCCATAATGTTGGGCATTTTGGCTGCGAACGAGTCTCTCGAAATCGAAATTGTACGCGTAATGAGTCTTGTCTGAGTCACCAACATACAACAGGTCAAAATAATTCTGTTGCTCTTGGTCGGCAACTCAAAGCGAATACATTGACCCACTTCAACTTTATATCGTCCCGTCCAAGCCTTACACGTTGACGAGAACGTTAGGGTTGCGCAGTTTGAATATTTTAATTTGGCACTCAGACTTGGGGAACTCTAACTTCGAAATTAGTAACGATATATCCCAACGCGACGGAATATGCGCGAATGTTCGACGCCTCGTGTCGTTATCGAAACGCTTCTAGACATTTGCGGAGCACTAAAAAAAGGAAAATACCTGCGACTTTTCCAATTGCCTTTTGTATAGTGTTAATTAGAGAGTATTACATTTTATTTTCTAAAACTCCCCACACACCCCATTTCACTTTATATTTTCTACATACAATATTTCACAATTATTTTGTTGAACTTTTAACTTTATACATTATCAACAGTGATATAGTCGTAATTTGATCAATGGATAAGTTAAAAACCTAAATGAGGAAACGTGGGGAATTTCACCCCCACACTACTTTTCAAAGGCCTTAACTAGAACATAGTTCTGGGGGACGGAATACAAATATTGTGATGTTTTAACTGTGTTAAAAATATGTATTTTCTAATTATTACATAACGCAACTAAAACTCCTAACCCTCCCAGATACGGCCTTGCTCCTTCCAACTTCCAAACTATTCCTCGAATATTTTTACTGACACTTCTTACATAAATTAAATTTCGTAGTCATATAATCGATAAGTGTATTATTAGATACCGTTTTATTTTTTTATAAATAAACAATAAACTATATGCAGTAAAAAAATAATCTTACAATCATTGTTTTCAAATCGTTAAAACATAAATGAAATAAACGTTAATAGGTTCATGTTAGCACTATCCTAATCCATTATAGGTAATATATTAAATACTAGATTAAAGTTTCATTTTCTTTGAAATTATGTTGTTTAGTTAAGAAAATATTGAACAAACAATTGAAAATAAAAACCCAGCACAGGGGCAAATCGTCTAGCGTACTCGGACTTCGCATTTTCATGTTGTCGTAATATTCGTCGCATAAGAGACTGACTACACGATCTACAATGTGCTGTTCTGTGCGCGCATCGCTAAACGTTGTTTATTTATAATAAATTGCGTCATACGCTGAGGGGGACCCTGTTGTGTTGTCATGAGTTCGTTATCTAGCTCGGCTTGGATGCTGTTATTATCGAACGCCACGAGAAACTCCCTTGAAAATTGTCGCCAGGACATGTTGTTTAACTTAATGGTCTCCCACCAAGTAAACGCCGTGTCCCTTAAAAATTGTACCCCGGTTTTCACTCGCAAATCGTAATGAATACCAGATTGAGTCGGGAGGTTTTCTAGCTGCTCCAGAAATTCCTTCGGGTCCTCCTCATATTTCCTCGTGAACTCAGGAGACGGATGACGTAAAACAGGCGGATTATTATACGGTACAGTCGCCAAATGTGTATATGAGCGGGTTGATGAGGACGGTGACAAATCGCATGTCGGCGGCACGAATATGTTTGGCCCGAAATGTCCCGTGTGTTGTGGGCGCGCGTCTCAATGAAAAGTTGCTTCGTGCGTGTTCGCTCGAGGTAGTGATGGAGACGCGCGCGTGGTCTGGCCGGTTAATCGTTGTATATTGCGCGCCTCGCGCTCTTCGATCTCCGTGAGACGTTGTTGTAAAGCCGCGTTATTCTGAGTCATGCTGCTCGGCCCAAACGTTACGAGGTTTTGTTCCGGCAAGCGCGCGTAATCAGTACGATTTGTTTCGACTGTTCCTCGCGTCGATGGGGAACGGATTTAGCATGGTCTCGTTGTTTAAATTGCGACTTGTAATTGTGTGCGAGAGGGACTGGATCTCCTGCGTAGTGCGGGACAGTGCTCTCTCTCTACTTCTGACATGCGCGCTTCTATGCGTGTATTCAGGGATATATCGCGTAAATTCTGCCTTAACGTGCCTATCTCCTCCATTGCGTGGCATATTGAGCGTACCGTATACATGTCATCTGTATACGCTGCGTTCGCACTTCCGTTGGGGCGGCCGATTGCCTGGGAACACTCGTGTAGAGACCCTGTTTCGGATTCCTCTAGCGCCAGATTAACCGGTTGATCCGCGTTTGTAGGAGGGTCGACGGTCCGGCATAGTGCGGGGGCGTCATCTACCCTTTTTTTTTTCTCCGATCGGCTTGGTTGTGGACCGCCCTGGAACTACCGTTAGGTATTACTTCAGGGCGGCCCACGCCGTCTTTAAAACTCACACCACCACGTTGTGAATCAGCCCGAAATTAATCAAGAGCTGATTCACAACGTGGGGTGGCCTCCCCCGTTAGCCGGATCCCAGAGTGGGATCCGTTGCCCGGGTCGCACCACGTGGAGGTGGGGGCAGGACTTTGCGAAGGAGGCACAAATAACTCACGAAACAAAAACATAAAAACGTAAAACACGAATACCTAAGGCGCCGGCCTAAACCAGCGCCTTAGGTCCTCCTGTACCGGTGGGCGCGGCTGCCTCTGTTTCAGGCGTTCAGCTTCCTCCTTATTTTTCAAGACGGACTCGGCGAACGCCTGGACGAGTCTCCACGCCTCCCGGCTTCCCAACATCAGGTCCACCAAGGACCCGACTCGGAGCGTGGACCCCAGACGGGGCTCCAAAGAGTTCCGCTCCTGGGCCCACGCCTCGTACCGGAAGAGGGTGTGCAGAGCGCTATCGGCCTCTCCCGGGCGATCAGAACAGTGGTCGCACGTCGGCTGCACGAGTAATGTGCGGCCCGAACTTTAGACGTTTGTCTATGACAAGGCCCAGATAAGTCATGGAGTCCTTAAGCGGGATCTCCACCCCCAGCACGGCGAGCCGTGGAGGAGTGAACTTGTACCTGCCCGTGAACAAGATCGCTTCGGTCATGCCCAGTGCGAGGCTAAGTCCACTCTCCTCCTGCTGGATCCAGGCGGAGACTGCGCTAAGCGCGCAGTTTGCCCGGGATCCAGCCTCCAGGGGCGTCGTCTACCCGTGACTCGCGTTCGATGGGTCTAGCCCTTCGCTGCGTAAGCTATTCTCCAAAACGGCTAGCATATCGCTTTTCGTCGTGGGTCCATTTAGCTGTCTATAAGCGCACTCTCGCAATAGTTCCCGACGGTTCATCAGAGACATAGTTTTACCTGACATAATGAACGTTCTTTACCGTATTTTGCGAAAATTAACAAAAATAAATAAATAAAACGCAAGCGCTTGTTTGCTTTTGTTATTCGGAAATGCGATATCGTCGGTCGTGAGAATACGCGCTAGTGTTCGCGTATGAACGTCAACAATGCCGGCCGTTTGTATTATTATTGTTATTGTTTTGATACTGTTGTAGTATAGCACTAAGATAATGGATTTTATATGGGAATGACGTTTTTATAATGTTTATGATTTCGAAGGTCGGAAATAATAATACAGACGGTTTTATGGGGCTCGGTTGTTAAATGCTAAATCGAACGCGTTGATACGTTGAAGTGTATTGTGCACTACCTGTCTATCGCTGTCGTTGCAATGTAATGTGAATCAGCGGCGTCGCCTCGCACGCGCAATAAGGATTGTTTGGGCAACCAACTGGATAATCTTCTTGTTAATATTAAAAATAACTAACGAGGTGGAATTCTACAATTGTTGCGCTATTGATAATTTATCTATAATCGAGCGAGAATTCACATTTTTTTCTAATGTCTAGAGATTTATGTAATAAAAAAAAGTTTGTTAAATATAATGTAAATTAGGAGAACTATTTTTTTCTAAGCTGATATTATTGCATAAATCACTAAAAATATTAATTTTAAACAATTGAGAAATTCATATGAATTGATGGTAAAATTTTGATTTAAGTAAATTTTCATAATTATTTTATATATAATATTTAATTATATATTAAATAATTAAAGAAATAAAATATATTTAGACTAATGAAATTTGAAAAAGACTAATATTGATTCAAATATCTTTAATTTTTTTAACTTATGCAACTCCATAAAATCACTAGCATAACATGGTATAACATAATCACATCCATAAAATCAATTTTTAACTAATATATCTATTCTATCTTCTAAACTAAAAATCGTTTCTTTCGAGGATTTTATTTCTTTTTTAGCTGATTTTAAAAGGTCTTCTATTTTTTTATGTTTAGTTTTCAAATCTATATATCTCTCTTCAGCTTCATGATGTTCATTAACAAGCATCTCAGTATAAAAAAATTTCAATGTAATATAAAAGAAAATTAATTAACAAAAAAAAAAAAAAGTTATATTACATGAGTTTTTGATCTTCTGTTTCTAATGATTGTCGTTCTTTCTCTCTTATTTTTTTAGTTTCGATATCATATTGTTCTCTTTCGTTTTCATGCCCAAGCATTTGATCTTTAAGAAATGTGTTAAGTGATTGCAATCTATTGTATGCTGTAGATAGCTAAAAATAAATAATGATTATACATTTTTAAAACAATACTTTTTTAAAATAAATAATTGATATAATAATATAAACCTGTAAAATTAGATCTTCTTTTTCATTTTTTAATTCATCTATCATTTTACCACACTCACGAAAATATTGTTCAAGCACAGGCTGTAATGGTGTCCATTTTTCACAATTTTTGATTATTCCTTGAGCTGAAATGTTAATGTTATCGAATTAAATAACAGTAAAAATAAATAAAAATATACTCCAAAGAAAATTTTTTTGGTACGGAATGCCTTTAATAAAGATTTAGTAGACCCGTTGTTACAAACATCGTTGATTATATTATATCGGTGACAGCTGATCACCAGCGCCTTGCTTTACTCAGCCCTTTGCCCCTCCAGCACGGCAAATCGATCACCGCCATGTATATTGTCATCCGTGTATAGTTTTTTTGTCGTAAGTCAGTTTATTGTTTTGTGTAATTTTTTTTTTTTTTGTAGCAAGCGCCTTTGCTTGGATCGTAAATTGTTCGGCCATTGTATGCCGTTATTCTTTTATTTGATTATTGCATCCTTGTGCTCAAGTTTACGTGCCCTTGCACGCCACTAGCGTTTGGGCTCTGACCATCACTAAATATCATCATTGCCGTTGTTCACATCTACCATTACGTGCGTGGATCTACAATCTGACTAGTCATACTCAGATGTTCGACACCATTACCACAAGATCTCATACAGCTCACTCATCACTATCAACAACTTCATCTATTCAGCTGAGTTTATATTATTTTTAATGTTATTTATTGTTTATTTCAATTAAGATTAACTATTTTGTTTTATGCCGTTTCGCCGGCCATTAGTAATTAAAGGCCCCCCGTTACCCCTTAAATTTAAGATACTGTTTGAAGAAATTCTAGTATATGTGGTTATTTGTTATTTAATTACTGTCTATATTCGTTACTTATTTTTTGATATTGGATTTACAATTTTGACCCATTCCCCCTTCAATAAAAGTTATTTAAACAGGCATAAGGTAGTAAACGGCATTCTAGTGCGGTGCATAACAAGTCGTCCTACGGTGTNTAAAAGTTATTTAAACAGGCATAAGGTAGTAAACGGCATTCTAGTGCGGTGCATAACAAGTCGTCCTACGGTGTAGCTGCCTTGTACAAAGCAATATTCATAATTTATCTTGCAAAAATAATAAAATTGTATTAGAAATAATGTATGTAATCCATTTTTGTACAACATTAATTTAGAGTTCCCCTGTAAAGTAGTGCTAAATGATACCTTTTTAATATAGTGATATTAAATTTTTATTTTCAATAATGCCATTGCATATCTTATTAAAGCTAATAGAAAACATTTCATAGTAAAACTTTTATTTATTTAACTCCTAAAAATATATAGAATAAAACATATATATTTAAATAGGTAATATATATTTAAAGAGGTTAATCAAACAAAATTATGTAAAATAACTAACTGTTGTATAATATTGGAGTTTTTGTTCAATAAATGGTTTTTGACAAATAATTTCAAAATTACAATTGAGTACTTGAGGTTCTTTAATAGAAGGTTTTGAAATTAAAATTCGNCAAAATTACAATTGAGTACTTGAGGTTCTTTAATAGAAGGTTTTGAAATTAAAATTCGTTTTAATATATTATAATAAGTTATATAAAAAAAAACAGTACTTGATAAAGTTGCAGTTTTTTCTTTTAGTTTTTCAAGACAGATCTCAATCAAGAACGTAAATCATCCCTGCAATATTTTTATTCTATGAATTTATTTAATGAAATTTATAACTTTAACTTTTAAACATAAGCAGAGAATTATTTTAAATAAATTTTTTGAATTATTTTTTAATTATTGCCGAGAATTAGTAAAAATAAAATTATATTGCCATAACATATTATAATTAACATAATGTATAAATATAAAAGAGTTTACCTTTCTTGAATAAACGTGTTAATAAACTATTATAATCATGGAACTAATATAATTATTGTTATATTTTGATTTTTTTCTATAATATAGAGCATAACTTATACCAAAATTGTATGGATTTAACCACATTGTTATATGATATTTAACTGTAGGGTGGTCCTTAGTTATAGAAGAAAAAATGTTTTTCATAAATTCAGAGTCATGGGCTCAAAATTTCGTTAGATTCACTGAAAAAATGAAATTGGTAAAATTTGAGTACAATAAGTCAACCCCTTCACGTGCCTCAAAGGGTTGAAATTCTTGAAAATTGAAGTGGATTTTCCTTTTTTGAGTGTACGCTCTTTATTTTTTAAGTTTCGCCAAAAACACAAAGAACAATTTTTATAGAACTCAATGTTAACAAAAAATAAGGTAATGTATTATTTTTTTGTAAAATTAATATTTTTTCGTAAAAATTAGAAAAATCAGTTTCATTTAATTTTTAAAAAAAATGACATAGTTTTCAGTTATACTTTTCCAGTGTCTTAAATTTTAATTGTTCAGAAATAATATTAATTACCGTGATTTCTTCTATAAAAAAGGTTATTTGGGTTTTTTTTTTTTAATTTTTTTTTCATGTATGTTTTTTTGTTCATAAATTAACAAATTTTCTTAGTTATATTAAATAAAAAAAAAACAAGAAACACAATAAAATAATAATTGTTTATCACAATAATAGTTTTTCTAATTTGAATATTTTTTATTCAAAATTTCTTGACTACAACTGGGATACAGCTGGCGATATTGTTGAACCACCTAAAATAGTCCAAAGTAAAGGTTAAAATACAAATATAGTAATTAAAGTTTAAAATTTTGTAGTATTTATATTAAATTCATACTTGTAATATAAATTGCTTTTGATTTTCATCCCTTGTAAATTTGTCGTTGAATTCTGTCGTTTACTATTTTTATCGAGGATAATATTTCTTTGGCGTTATTGTATTCATTATTTAATTCCCATCTGGTAGGATCATCATATAAAAACTTGAATTTTAATTTAAATCGTTCGAATAATTTCCATGAATTGTTGCTGAGCAATGAAAAAAGACTATCTTTTCCTAGAAAATCTGATAAATCTTCATATTTTAAAAGTAATTTTTTATTTGAATCTTTATTTTCTTCTAGCTCTTCATTCATGCTCTGTTCATAACCTTTTAATTTTCATTTGCCATTCGCTGTTTAGTATTAATGTCAAGTCGATCGTCAAATAAAGAAAACACAGCAAACTCATCATTTAAATACCATAAATGGTTTATAACTTTTTTATAACTACGTCTCCTAGTTTATTATTACTGTAATTTAATATCATTAAATCATTTATAGGAGCTGTTATAATATTTGCAGCTGAAAATCACATTTTAATATAACATTCAACTGCAAAACAACATATATCTTCTAGTGCATTTACTNAAAAAATGAAATTGGTAAAATTTGAGTACAATAAGTCAACCCCTTCACGTGCCTCAAAGGGTTGAAATTCTTGAAAATTGAAAATTCTTTGGAAGGTCCAGGTAATTGACTCATTTCTTCAACGTTTTACTCTATATCAATATCTTCGTCCTCCGAGCTAGAGCTGCTATAATATCGAGCTTCAGCTAAATAATAAAATACTTGGGTATATAAAAACTGCTTACTTATAATGTACTGAAATTATTGTGTAATATTTAATAATTACCTGTACAATTTGCGATTTCTAACTTCTCTTTTTTCTTTCGATCATCTTCTTCTTCTTGTCGAGTAATTTTACGTTTTTCATATCTGTTAACTTCATATCAATACCAAGCATGCACCCTGGGCGGCCTTTTTTAAGTTGTGACAACAAATCTATTTGTCTTCTTCAATATTCAGAGCTTCGATATAAGAAATGTCAAATGGGTTGTCTTATTCTTCAGAAAAAATATTATAATGTTGTTCTTGTGTTTCTGTTTTTCTAGATTTATTTTTGTACAACTTTCTCCATTTCTCATTCAATTTGTTCAATTTAATAACACAGTCTGAAGAATACTGTGTAGGAATACGCGCTTTTCTCCAAAATTTTAAACACTCATCTATTACAATTATTATTATATTGTGTTTCTGGTTTTTTTTTTTATTTAATATAACTAAGAAAATTTGTTAGTTTATGAACAAAAAAACATACATGCAAAAAAAATTTTAAAAAAATAAAACACGTTTTCGTAGTTGTTTTAAATTTTCACGTGGAAAGGATTCATAATTCCAAAAAAGATCAAATAACCTTCTTTATAGAAGAAATCACGGTAATTAATGTTATTTATGTACAATTTCTGCGTACAATTCAAATTTAAGACATTGGAAAAGTATAACTGAAAATTATGTCATTCCACTCAAATTTTACCAGTTTCATTTTTTCAGTGAACCTAATGATTGAGCCCATGACTCTGAATTTATGAAGTTGAAAAATTAGGACCACCCTACTGTAAGTATATATTTATTTTTATATCACACTAAAAAAAAGTATGAATAAAATAATAATATAATAATTTAATTGTATTAATATGAAATTACTAATTATTTAATGACGATCACTTTACAAAATTACAATAACTATCGTTCATTAACAAAATAAACAATATGTTGCCTGTATCATTCCGGTGATTTCCAATAATTTCCACAAGTTGCTAGTTTCCATATTAATTTCTATTAGTTAAATTATTTTATAACAGAGGCGACACTTCTGAGGTTCTATATAGTTTATTTTATTTACAGCTGCAGATAATGAATTAAATTTAATATCGAAATCTGAATCACAGTTAGCTGTAGAATTAATTTAATTACAAAAATTGAAATTATCTTTTTATTATAAATCGTAATATTACTTAACGTATAACAAAATGATATATCAATTTTAATTTTGTAACTTTACTAACTACTCAATAAAAATTGAGCGTGATAGTGTGACCATTATATTTATTTATAAAATACACTGGAAAGCCAGTTTGACAATGGCTGTTTACAGCTGCTTTGTTCGATAATACCTAACTACTCCCGTTTTGTGTATGTAAAATACCTACTGATAATTCCACACAACTATAGTCCAGAGTTATACTCTATATCAAGACAGAAGTTAATATTATTTTAAATCGTGCTTTATACATTATTATGTTAAGGTCTACGATTTTCCTTATTAATTAATAAACAGTAGCTGTGTGTAAACTTCAAGAACAATTTTAAAAAATAGGATTGATTTACTGAACAGTAGAAAACCTACGGTAATTCGAGGAGAGAACTTATTTGTAATTAAGGGAGCTAAGCTTCCTCTAGACCACTCTATTTGTGCCTTTAGATATCCATAGTAAAATGAATAAGAATTATGTTCGATCATAGTCCGCATTTTCAGAGTACTCGTATTAATTAAAATATCTTGTTCTTCAGATGCTTTTTTGATAGATGATGAAGTTCTAAACTGTATTATTAGAAAAAGAATGTATTTCAGAATTCTGGCTGTAAACAATAAAACAAAAAAAAAATTTGAAAAATTTATGAAATTATCATTGAAACTACAATACAATCTACCATGTAGTTTTATAAATACTGTAATAATGTATACTTTCTGTAATTAAATACACAAAAAATTGATATTTAATTAGTTATTTGCAATTAAATTTTTACTTTGGTTAGATTTATCAACGAGTTAAATATTGATTGATAAAGTACTAGATTGAAGCAGGTAATATAATAAAGATGTATTACAACACTATTAATGTTAATAAAAAAATAAAATTTAAAGCAAAATTCAATTAAAAGAGTTTGTTAAAATATTTGGCTAAATGGGGAAGGTATCCCTTAATATAATGCAACGTATATAAGTTTGACGCACGTTAAGTTTATTATAGTATTAATAGTCAAGGTTAAGTTTTTAATGGTATACACTCAGAGTAGTTAAATATTTGATTTAACTACTTTTAGTATTTTGTTTTTTAACAACATACGATTTTGAATAAAAAATAATAGCAATTACATTCTATTNAAAAAATAATGACAATTAGATTCGAATTTTTTCTTATGATACTAATAATAGTGTATATAGTATAAATAATCCGGGTTTAGTGACTAAAGATGAGTATCATCTAATATAAACAGTTAATCAATACGCAATACAAAAAATATTATTTAATGTTCCACGATTTCATATCCGAAATTATAAAATTTGTACCATCCAGTTATTCTATCACTTTTATTTTTTAATATCCTCATATACAGGGTGATTTTTTTATCATAACCCACTCAATTACTTACAGAATAATTATAATATAAACATTTTTTTTTATTACTATCTTTAGTTACACATTATTCTTGAATTATTAACTATGTAATACTTTTTAAGTTCATACCATATGCCTTGTAAGGGTGTCAACTTTATTTTTTTAAATGGTAACACATATTTTTAATTTAATAAAATGTTTAAGTTTTTAATTTAATAATAAATGGCATTTGAATTTTTAATAAAACTTAATTTGTTTATTAGATATAAACATTTAAAGTTTCAAATTTTTGAGTTAATATATAGGTATAATACACTAGGGATTAAAATTACAGGTAGCTAATTGGTTTTTTATGATATTGCTATCACAGTCACGTATTGTTTATTATCAATTATGACTATCAATAGATATACATTCTGTAATTCAATTTTTAACTATGTAATACTTTTTAAGTTCAACCATTATGCCTTGTAAGGGGGTCTACTTTGTTTTTTAAATGGAAACACATATTTTTAATTTAATAAAATGTTTTTAATTTAAAGAGTTTTTAAT